TGATATTTTATCCAACTGAAATTCCCAATTCAGCCTTTATGAGTTAGAAAATTTACATCTGATAGGAAATAAGCAGACTTCATAAACAATTCCTGGATTTCGGGGGAGGGGGCTGAAGCCTCCTGAAATACGCTCCTGATACAAATATTAAGACAACAAATAGAAATACATGCTTATTTTCCGACAGCTTATTGACATTATTTATTGTCACGTAAATGTATACAAAATATTTTCGYGGGTGGTACCTATCGATGATGGTACATGTGCATATTGCACATTGAACCACACTCATACTTATAATTATAATATATCGACTCACATAATGATCGCGGACGAAGACGATGAGATTAGAAATTTCTTAATGTTATACCTTATTGGCTAGGTAGCCCGCAGTGGGTGGGGGTGGGGAGGGCCACGCAATTTGTTTAAGATATGTATTTTATGAAAATAGTTAACTGGTTTTGAAAGAAGATGTTGTTTGATTTTTGCTGTAGATAAATTAGATGCTGAAAGCATAGCTTATAAATTATTATCAAGTTTGGAAAGGTGGGGATTAGATTTGAATAAGATAGGCAAGGATACGATGGTGCGAGTACTATGGCTGGTSATATAAGTGGTGTTCAAAAAAGAATAAAAGTTTTACATAAAAAAGTGGTCTTCGTCCATTATGCAAGTCATCGTCTAAATTTAGTTTTAAATGAATTAAATTCCATTCCAAGTATACGCAATATCATCACACCGATGAAAGAAACAATAATTTTTTTTTTTTWAATTCTTTACGCCAATCAGTTGCTCATAGTCTTCCTAAATTATGTGTCACCAGGTGGTCTGAATCATATAAAGYGCTCAGAAAATTTTGTGAAAATTTATTAATATATATATATTATATATTTTCAGTCCTGTATGATAAAATGTTACAATAATTTAAAAATATTATGTTTCTACTTTCTACAATGCTTTATTATGGACATAAATTTTTAACTTTTCAAGTTTAGTTAGTAAATAAAAACATATACGCGCTATACATTTGTACTTTGTCAATGGTTTTTGATGTTAGTTGTTATTATAAATTGTTAAATTGATATACCTAATGTTATTGAGGTTTAGATTTATTTAAAAAAAWTCGTTTACCGTAATTGTGTTTCAATATTTCGCATTCAACAATTTTAAGATTTTTAAAATCAGATTGGTACTATTTTTTTATTTAGTTTGACGAATATATAATATATATATTGGTGTGTGTTATTAATATAAATAATAACATAAACGTATTATATAGRCATTYATTGTTRAYAGTATAAATCGTAATGACGTACAATATATTTCTACTCGCTAATAACCGACGGACAGTCTCCACCGATCGTAATATGATACTTATGATTATTGTTAGTATAAACAGTATAGGTGTAATATCATATAATATAAATGCTGAAT